CGATAACCACTGTCGCTGTGAGTTCTCGATGCCGTCCGTTCGCCTCGCGCTCATTGATCCAAGACACATCTTGTTTCTATCAGCGTTCCGTTTCTTGTTTCCGTTGCAGGATATTGTGTGGCGGGGAAATGGCTGGAAGAACAGTCTTTCCCTCCAGTGTCGCGTCCCGCGCTCCCCACACCCCTTCAGTAAGTCTGCTTTGTTTTCGACCTACCTTCATTGTCTTACTATTCATTATTTTAGATACGCTTTCATGGCCAAGATGCTCGCTACCTCCAATGTCACTTCGGTGTACCAGGCAGGGCGGTACATGAAAGCTGCGAGGCGAACCATCAGGTTTCCGCGCACTTTTCAGGTGGCTCTTGCGTTGACCAGTCTCATCATCGGGCTCTCCTATTCGCTCATGTCCGTTCCTTTGCCTTCTCCCACACATACGAACTAAACATACTTTGTACAGCCTTGTCGACACATGGCTCCATGCTTCGGCCTTTGTGGTTGCAGGAAGTATCCCGAGCTCAATTCAGAGACCAATTCAAAACGCCTCATTCGGTGTGGCCTTCAATGAATCGGTTTGCGCCACATCTTCTGTGTGTGTTCAGGACGCGTTGGGAGGTTACGGCCCATCGTTGGTCGCGCAGGCCGGCCTCGTCGTCGCCGCCAACTCGTCCGACACCCTCTCAGTAATTACCCTCAACAACGCGTCTGACATGGCCGTCGTCGTCTCAAAGTCGGCGAATCCATTCGTCACCTTTGAAGCGCCTTCCTTCGGAATCAAAGCCCAGTGCTCGAGCCTGACGCCGAGCTGTACTAGCACTGTTCCGCAGCCTATCGAGTGCTCCGCGTTTCCGTTGACAGACAGTCCGAGCACTACGAGCACGAGCGCCAGTACCACTGCCAGTGCCCGTGCGAATTCAAGTGCGAGCGCGAGCGCGACCAGCAGCGTCGCCAGTGCCAGCTCCACCTCGCAGCTCGCGACCATGCTTGCGCCCGTCGGAGTTACGACCTCGAATCCGCAGACGGTGCTGGTGCAGCTGCAATGGAGTGCAAATGGGTCAATGGCGTCACAGAATCCGGCGGCGGTTGGGACGAACAACGGCAATATCTTAGCCTGGGCGTCGTGTGATTTAACGTTCTACAATCTCACTCTTCGCCAACAAGATGGATTGTACGGTATTGTGGGAGAGCCTGTCCTCGCCAGCCCTGATTTTTCCAATATCATGCAACGCGGCCTCCTCTCGCAGCTGGGCAATATCCGATTGCTGTCCGACCTCCAGGTTCGTTGTTTTCCCTTTCCCGTACCTAGGCCTGTCTGATGTTTCGTCAGACGACAATGCTAGCTGAACAAAACATATCGAGTGCAGTTGGCGCGCTGAACCAGGAGCTCGGCCGCGTCGCGCTTGCGCTCTTCACTGGGACGCTCCAGCAGGCTCCTTTGTTAGAAAGTAACCCACAGCAGCAAGCCGCTCTCCTTGGACGATACCCACTCGTTCCCGTCATCCTCTACCTTTCTATCCTATACGCATACTCCCTCACCGCCGCCGTTATATACATCTGGGCGGCACGCTTCCGCTCGCAGCTATTCCGCAGACCCGGCCACAAGACGACCTGCGCTGTGCAACTGGGGCAGCAGCGCCTTACGGATCCCCTCACACTCGTTGCCGCGTTGTATCCCTCGTATCCAGACAATCCAATGACAGAGGACCCGCGCGAGCTGTTCATGGAAGAGACCGCGGTCCGGTTAGAGTTCAGCACGCATGACGGGCCCCAACCCATGTTTGGGGTGTACCAGCGCACCGGGACATGGGCGCTGGAGATGGGGTAGAGGGAATGCGACTTTTTTTTAATACTTTTTGTTGAAGCAACGACACTCCTTTGAATATCTTTGTTACGTCTCCATAGACACTTTCCAAGGTTGTTTTGGACGTTGAGCGTTCTTCGTAGCTGAGGTTTCAGCAGATATCAAGTCGTTCGTGCGTGCGGCGAGGAAGCCTCTATTATTATTTCGAAGCGCGGGATGGCATCGTGTTGTATATACATGGCCAGCCGTGTACGACCAGAGAGTGGAGGAGTATCCGACCAGAGTCTCGTTCGTTCCAATGTCCGGGCTATTTTCCTTCCGCATTCGAAAGCTGGGAGATGATCCGTGTGCCGGGTATCCGGGCAGGATTGAACGACCGGTCGCAGTCGGCGTACGCGATACCGGCGCCAAAACCCGTCGAGAGTGCAATTGGCCATGTGCGGCCTGGTTGAGAGAACCCGAGTTATTCCGAGTCGCGTGGATAAGACGGAAACGACCGACGTTTGAATAGTACAACGGATAGCACGACGCCAGCGCTGAAGCCTACACCACTTTTCCCGGTAATGTTAGATCTCTGTGCGAGGAGATATAACGGCTGGAACGTACGCTTTGACGAGGAAATCGGCCACTAAATGGTCCGAAGTCAGTCAAGCGGGACAAATCGGCCTGCACACTGCTACGCACAACAACGGTCATACTGCGCGTCGAAATGAGCGGGAATAGGAATATAAGGATTGAAAAGTACCTTTTGTCCGAGAATATCTTCGCTTGAAGGAGGTTTTGGAGTTGTGGACATGGCTAAGAGGGAATGCTGTGCCGATAAGTGTGGTCGTGATTGGCAGAGCCGTTGGCCCAATAAGGCAACTCAGAATTTCTGTTCTTTTCCCGTCATCCCGCTTCGCGCGTTCGGGAATAAAATCGGACTATGGGTATGGCCGGTTGTAGCCAACTCAATGAATCTAGTGGCCGCTTATCGCTGTTCCTGGGCGCTCGAAAATGTACTGTGGGGCTGTGTTGACTATTGTGCGAAAGGGTTGTTCAACGTTGACCTCATACCTTCACCATGGACCTTTTGAAACCTCATAACAAGCACGAGAAACCGGCCAAGAGCCCATCCTCCAAAGACGGGGCTCATGCACAACACCACGAATCGCTGTTGGAGAAAGTTGTTACCCCTCCGCCGCCCCCCGAGGGACTATTAGATAAAATCAGTCGCTCTATGGGCATAGAACGCGAGGAACATGGAACGTCGCTCCCTCCAGCGGCACCGCTCCCTACCCCGCCAACGCACGAGAGCATCTTTGACCGATTCACCACACACGAGATACCGGCCCCGCCCCCACCCCCGACATTACCCCCGAAGCCCGAAGGGTTCCTGGAAAGGGTTGGGCTGGGACATGGACATGTTGCTGCTCCGCCCCCGCCGCCTCCACCGCTCGTCCCCCAACACGAAGGGGTGCTGGAGAAACTTGGGCTGGAACACCATCACGCTGCCTCGCCGCCGCCTCCTCCTCCGCCCATGGTTCCTAAGCACCACGGAATCCTCGAAAAACTTGGCGTAGAGCAACATGATGCTCCGCCGCCAGTTTCGGCCCCAGTTCCTGCGCGGCACGAGGGAGTTCTTGAGAAATTGGGGCTAGAAAAACCGCATCCTCCTCCAGCGCCCGTTGTCCCGCCTCCTGCAAAACACGAAGGAATTCTCGAAAAACTTGGTCTCGAGCACCCAGCTCTTGTACCTGTGCCTGCACCGGTTCTTCCCAAGCACGAAAGTATTTTCGACAAAATCGGTGTTGGGCATCCTGCTCTCGCCTCAGCGCCTGTGACGCCAAGTCCACCGAAACACGAAGGTGTACTCGAGAAGCTCGGGCTGTCTCACGACTCTCTCCCACCACCGCCCCCTGCCGGCCCCGAACACAAGGGTGTACTCGAGAAGCTGGGGCTTGAGCACAACGATCCTCCGCCGCCGCCGCTGCCCCCAAAACACGAGGGCATGCTGGAGAAAATGCGGCAGGAGCACCAAGAGCAGCCGCATGAAAGGTTCCTCCAGAGGGCGGGCTGGGTGACGCCGCCACCGCCCCCACCACACGAGGGGTTGCTTGAGAAAATGGGCCTCGTCCCGCCACCGCCCCCGCTCGCGCCCAAACCTGCGGGTATCCTCTCGCACCACCACCATGACGCCCCTACCCCGCTGGCGACTGGGCGTCTGACGGAGAAGATCAGTGCACTAGGAGTTGGCCTGGGCATCTCTCATCCAGAACCGCAGAACCCGGAGCATGGGCTAGTACACAAGCTGAGCGGGGCTCTGCGCCCGGAGGAGAAGAAGGACGAGGGCCCTGTGTCTGGGCTGGTGCGGAAGATCAGCGGTGCGCTTCGCGGAGGCGAGAAGAAAGAAGGTTCGTAGATGTTTTTCGCCGTGAGGACATGAGATTTAACATACATCGCATCCTAGATGCTTTTGAGAAAGGTTGGTGATAATGCTCCTAGTTCCGAGCTGGTTTGTTCACTCTCTGAAAGCAGCAGATTTCGTGCGAGAGCACCTCCCTCACGAGGAGTCGAAATCCGAGCAGATCGTCAACGCGGTCAAGCGAGAATATAAGAAGATAGAACACGATCTGAAAGATTAGCATGTACATATGGAAGACGACGCCGCTTCATGTGTATAAAACAGTCACAAAGTAGGAGGCCTGCCCGTCGACTGCGGCACTGGGTGTGTCTGAAGACGCTACCCTATGATGATGGGTCCTGGTCCCTATCCCCAGCTTTGGACCGTTGCTGGATTGAACCCGACTGCTAAAGTACACAAGCCTTGTCCATGAGGGTCCCGTTCAGGTATCTTGACGGTAAACCGCGTCGCGCCCACAGGCCAAGTAACTATCTTGTCGCTGTGGTGCACGGGATTCTAAGTTCTTAGGCTGCCAGTGGCTCCAGGTCAAATTCCACCCTTAGTTTAGGCGCTATTTATTCTGCCTGCTCTCGAACGTCAGTAAGCGTGTGTTACGAATGTTACGAATTAGAACACTACCTATGCTGCATACACAGCTGAGGCCCACGGGGTAACCTGTCCACGGCGTAGTCAAGAGGTGATATGCAGAGAAGGAAGGCCAGCCAATCGGGCAACTAACCACCAAAATCCTAATTAGGAAGGTTCCGGTTTTCTCTCGTCTTTAACTTGATGACTCATTACTTTCTACTCTCGACAACAGGCACTGTGGCGGAGTGGTTAACGCGACAGATTCGAATTGTACAATCTGTTCCACTTTGTGGGCGCATGTTCGAGTCATGCCAGTGTCGTCTTTTTGCCTCTTTTTCGTCTTTTTCGTCCATTTCTTCATACCTTTCCGCCTGCATCCTGTTGCTTTGCAGACCCACGTTCTCATTGGTCTATGATTCAGCTTCTCACCCCGTTCCCTGAGCTCAAAGGCCCTCTGTCTTCCCGCCTAGGTCCCTCGATCCCAGTATCTGCCGCCTCGAGCCCAGAGAATGCAGTGTCTGGGAGCATTCAATATTCCTCACAATCGGGTCGGGAATTTCTTTGGCCTCCTGGAAATCTTTACCGGTCGACTGAGCCGAGTTAAAACGCTGTTCTCCGTCGTTATACTTTAATCATAAACATATACACCTAATTACAATCCAATCTAAAATCTCGTTACATGTCGTTATATCATATCAAGTAGGATCCAAAGGATAGTGGTATATTTTCCGCATCAACTGCCATAGCTTCTCCGCTCCGAGGAACAGTTTTTCTAGTGCCAGATCCATGTCTATCTCGGGCCAGCTTATGTTTGAAAAGTTAAAGTTGAACGGCTGAAAGAGGGCGACTGAGCTCGAGGAGTCGTCGGCGAGGGGTGGAATAATCTGCGGTGTCTCTACGGGGGCCGGTGGGGGTGGGGACGTCAGGGCCACCGAGAAAGTGCTACTCGGACCGGGTTCTTGTATTGACTCCGAGGGAGTGTCCGATTCCGATTTGGTGTCAGTGTTGAACCACTGCCATCGACTTGCCTGATAGGCAGTGGCGGTAATAGTGACTGCCTCGGGGGCGTTGGTCCATGACGGACCTGCGGACATCGCATACCCTTCGAGGGAACGCGAGAGTTCGGTCACCGCCGAATTTAGTCGGACGAGGTATACGGATCCAAGGATGAGGATAACCCACGACACGAGGAGTATCGTTAGCTGCCCGAAACTCGTCGACACGGGGGAGAAGGGGTGCAGGTTGTACTGCTGGGGGTGTAACCGGATATCCAATGAGATATGGGGGTAGAAGAAGGCCTGCAGAGAATAATGGAGGAGCCGTCGTCCAGATCTCACGTATTGATTGTGGGCGAAATTGGATCGTAAAGACGATATTTCCAGACCTAAAGCAGCGTTAAACGAGGAGTAGAAGCGAAAGGAGAAGGGACTTGCCTGAAATACCATCGATATTGACCTCCAACCGGCCCACAGGGATGCCGAAGGAAGGCAGATACACATCGAATTGCGTACGGTCCTTTGCCTTCATCTTCCCCTTCTTGTCGGCGGGTTGCCCATTGACATCCTTGACCACGTAGTCAACTACCACGCGCCCGCCGCCGGCCGCCCCTACACGCAGTTTGACCCAGCTAACCCACTCCTGGCCGCTCATCTGCTCAAACGGCAGTTCAACGCCCGATTCCTCTTGCTTCACGGCGACGGTCGTCTCGTACAACACCGGCACGTCGTCCACGCTCACACTCACAATGTCCACCTTCGGCGGCCCACCGACACCCGAAGACCCGCTCGCGCCATGTTTCGCGAGTCCGAACTCAAGCCAGTCCGAGTCCGCATCCACGGGCGCCGCAAGGGAAACGCGCACGGCATACGCAGCCGGTACCGCCGCCAACGGGCTCCCCGCGTCATCTGGCATCACCACGAGCGGCGTCACCACCGCCACCACACTCGGAATCATCAGCGCGCCGTCGCGCTTCGGCCGCGCAGGCGCCATCCCCAACACCGCCATCGCGCGGGCAGCCGACGTCGAGGGCACCCGGTCGCGCGATGTCTGCACGCTGCTCGGCGTGCGCGGCCGGCTAGGCGGATGCAGTCTTCCGTTCGCACTCGTCGCAACACCATTTGGCGTCGAGACAAACGGAATCGCGGGCTTCACAACGATGCGCGCGCGCTCGCCGCATTTGGTGTAGTCCCCGCGCTGAAGCACGGTCTTGCTCGAGGCGGGTGCGCGTTGGTGCGCGTCGCCAGCGAATACCTCGACGGTGGCAGGCGCGTTGGCGTCAACGTCGTTGCGCACGATGACAGTGACGGACTCATTGTCGGCCGCGAGAACGGTGAAACGAGGGATGATGATCGAGTCGGGGTCGATCGGGGCGAGCGGCGTTTGGGCGTCGGGTTCGCCCTCTCCGCGTACCGGCGAGGCGCTACGCGATGCGGATGGGGGTGTCGCTCGGGGACGCGGTGTAACGAGCACAGTTCCGGAAATCCAGAACGGGAAGGAGTTTTTGCCCGCGGGGAGCGTCAGCTCATTCATGTTAACGTGTATTGTTACTGGAACTCCTGGCGGCCGGGGAGCCTGGTTCATTGAGGGCGCAGACGACGTTGGCAACGAGCCAACGGAAGACTCGATCGAAGTCGTCTGCGAAGCGGAGATGGAGGAGGATGGAGCTGTGCCTTCGAAAGAGTATTCGGGGACGTTGGTGACAGGGAGAGGTCCCCGGAGCAGAGACGCCGACGAAGACGCCGAGCTTTGCCGAGATAATCCTCGTTCCGCCCCGAGAAATATTTGGGGCGCGTTGGAATAGTTGGAGTCCAGGGAATCGTGCCTCGACATGCCCTCGGGTCTCGGCGACGCTCCGACGTCGTATCCCGTGTACCCTGCGCCTCCCCCAATCTCCCAGTCGTTGAGGTGCCCGGGAACCCACGAGAGATCCGAGTTCTTGGCCTCCAAGCTAACGTCCATTCCAAGCATCGTCGCGACCCCAGGGAACCACACGCCCTTGCACGTTCCCTTGTAGTCAACATGCATCAGCACCCCTTCGCGCTGGTGCTCCGGATTCAACATCTTGCCCAGCACGGTACACGTCATCTCTCCGCGCACGTCTTTGACACCGACGCGCCGCCGCCCATCTCCGCCGCCGCCAACGACTTTCGTCGGCTTCGCCCAACGTACACGGATACGCTCCGCACTCGGGAACGTGCCCTGAATCCCACATCCGTCCGAGAAGCCTGCAGTCGACGAGTCGCTCGACTCGTCATCGGCGACGTTACCATACGAGTACGTGCCGGCGCGCGACTGACGCGAAGACGTCGCACGGGTGACGTGCGGGTCCGAGGTGAGGTCCCACGCGCCGCCGTCCTCGTCCGCAGAGGAAAGCGACGCGAATGACGCAGAGGCGGCCGTTGGTGGAAAGATACGCAGCCGCACGTTGTTGTGCAGGCAGCGCGGGGTTGGGATGGAGAGCAGATAGGGGGAGCGCGGGGGACGCGACGAGTAGGGCACGAACATGTCAATGGCGGCCATGAACTGCACGGTATTGCGCTCGATGATGGAGGACCGTCGGACACTGCCCGTAGAACGGGAGTAGTGATCGCTGTCCTGGTAGCGCGTCGGGAAGGCCTTGGGGAGTACATACGAGATGTGGTAGCCGCTGACGAGGATGTGGCCGGTGTATTTGCTATCCACGGGCGGCGTGGCGCTCCTGCTGGAGGTTGAGGACCCGTTGGACTTGTTAGATCGAACGGAGCCGGCGACCGAGGCGTTTGGAGCAGGGGGCGAGAGTCCAAAGGCGGCGTCGAAGGACTCTGACGAGCGGCTAGGGACTGCATGGACTTGAGATTTAGCGCAGAGAAAGAGGTTTGTAACGTACGGTTGAGTGCTCGTGCTGCATGATGCAGCAATGGCGACAAGTCGGACGAGAAATCGTAGGGCGCGGAATTGCTGTCCAGTGGATGAACTTGGGAGGAGAGAACCTTGACGCTTTCCTCTGCACGAGAGTCAACGGCGTGGAATGAAAAAAGCGGAGGGACTGACCGGGAAACAATGGAATAGTGGATCCCGGGACACTGTCGAATGGCAAGGCAATCTGCCACCAAAAAAATTAACTACGTCGCGGGTAGTCCAAATTCGCCTCACCTTGAGGTACATCCTGATACCTGCACCATCCTCGCCGTGCTTCGCCTTGCCCTCGATGGCTACACGCGTCACTACATTCGTTTTTTGCCCCTGCGCGCCCGCGGTGACTGTCGGCGAGTATGCTGACGACGGGGTATTGAACACGCTAGAAAGCCGCGCACGCAGCGGGGTGGTTGTCGAGTCTGTGGCGCTAGTTGGAGGACTATTCGGTCTACTGTGTCTCTGCGACGTAGGGATAGGCATTCCGCTTGAAAAAAAAGTTGGTAGAACCAGTGGCCCAAGCGCGTCGCGGTCGTCGGCGCGTCAGAATTAATATACAACGTGGAATCCGGTGGTCGTAGCGAAATGTGCGGGTTGAGCTGGTATATGGTGGTGGTAGCGGTACAAAGTTGGGTAAGTCTTTTGTTGCCGCGCCGCTTCTCACGTGGATCTGCCCAAAAGGGTTACAACCGCGCTCACCCGAAATGGATTTTTGCGTCAACAAGCCAAAGAAGCGCGTCCGAGAACACAGCCTTAATGGACCGGATCATCCTCTACGCGAATTTTTATTGTCCGGGGGAGTAATTATACAAGCAGCGATTTTGTTACCATAAAGGTATTTGAAGGAGAAAAAGATAGGAACCCAGGAGCTCAGATAAGCCCTCAGTTGAGGTCAGAATATTACTGCGAACAGGTTCGGCGTGGAAGTAACGCGGAAGATGGCGCAGAGCACCGTTTTGGGACAGCTTGAGCGACGGCTGAAGCCCAGCGCACAGCAGACAGCAGAGGAGGGCCCGGAACGGCCAGTCTACTATGTGTGACATCGCAACTACGGCGTCCAGAGAATCCGAGTCAGTCTCTATTTCACTGACGTCGTTTAGGACGCACGGCAAGGCAAGAGTCGACAAAAGGTCTGACTTACCGACCCTCCCAGGCGGAGGGAAACCGGCGGCAAGAGCTGTTCAAGTATCTCGTCGGAACCCAGGCTCAGCATGGATTCAGTACACCATCAGTCCCAGCATGTCGGGGGAGGGTGCTCTTTGACCGGAGGTGAGGTGCGCAGCGAGGATGGCCACGTAGATTCGGGGTCTTGAGTTCATCGAGAGTAGATGCCCGTCTTCTCCTTGGTAAAGGGCCCGCCAGAAAAGAAACCCAATGAAGTCGTTGGCCGTAGGGGGCATTTATCCTATGGCCGCCGCCAAGATCCACG